ATCCATAGTTTAAATCAAAACATAGAGAGAGACAGACGGAAATATAAATATAGTTAATTTTACTACTACTGATATCAGAAATCCACATTATATACATCACATGTAGGAAAGTAATCAAGATTGTGAAAAATGACTTCGATCAAATTCACATACTCAATACAAGAGGAGAGGAGGAGACACGGTGCAAAATGTCAACAACGACCAGACTCTAGATACAACCAGGGAAGATTCTGTTGTACAAACAATGTTTGTTTCATCAATCAGAGAATTGGGCCGCGACCGCAGCCTCCACTCCAGTCGGTACCGACACTGACGCAGCTTCTGTGAATTATTGACTGTTGTCGACTTAAATTGATTAAATTGTTCAAAGACAATCAATCCTGTGTTGCAGCACGTTTTGCTATCAGATTTACTCATTACTCTCCAAGTTTCGATTTGATTTTAAATTATAGGTTTCATTATAATTTCTTGTGTTTTTAATTGTTTTCTTTAGAATTTAATTTTCGTTATTAAAATATTCAATTTCTCTGTCAAACAATTACAATTATTTCTTATGTATTTTCTTATTCTATTTTTATGTCATTCATCCATCCTTTTTATGAATAAAAAAAAATAGATAAACAAAAAACTAAAGCAATTTGTTCAAAAATTACTAACTGAGATGTAGCCAGTTACGAGCTCCATCTGATTTTTTTTAATCAAAATAGGATTATCAATATTTTAGTTTTACTCATACGCGGCGAAGTTAAATTTTAATTTTGTATAATATCATCGTCTTCTAATATTGGAAATTTGAAAAAAGAAAACTTCCGCCTTTGTTACAGTTTTATTTAATTTGCTATCCCTACCTCTCTCAATAGAGTTTGTTGTAGTTTCGTTTTCTCACTGTGCAAACCCACCATGTTTGTTAAATCATTGCTTAGACATTTCTGAAATTATATATTATATTTCTAACATGGGTAAAGGGAGAAGCGGGACTTCATTGGCAGTATCAGTTGTCCCGTGGGACTACTTGGACATAAAATAAAAATATTTTAGCATCAGTTGTCCCATGGGACTAGTAAGACATAATCATACCACCTATCCCATCATGGGGCTGGATTAATAGGACTAGTAGGATAGACAGCCATACACTAGGCTCATATGCTTAGACTTTCATGGAATTCCGAGAATTGGTTTTTTCAACTATCTATTTATTTCCATGAGATTAAAAGAAATATTCGCCTCTAGATTTTGTTGCAATCCTAGAATGACCTTACTAATATTACGTCAAAGCTTAACTTAAACATTGAAATTGAAATCATGAACATTCGAAGCAGGTAATATTACTCAGCTCGTCTCACTCTTTGATGATTAATAAGATCACTTTCTACTTAGCAAACTTCTCAGAGCACCGATTCGCAGATCCCGCTGATAGGCCAAACGACATCGTCCAACATAAAGATACGGCGGAAAGGAAATAAGTCCCATCCGACTCACTTGGAGGATATTTCACTTTTTTATTGCCGCAGAAGTCGCCCCATAAATTCACCGCTCCAGTTTTACGTTGGCGCTTTAAAATTTTTAATAATTTCTTCGCAACGCCGCCGTATTTGCATCGCATTACCATTACAATTCTTTTGCTTTACTGCTCCGCTTTTGTTTCGGCAAGTGAAACAATGAGTGGGTTTGGGACAAACGAAAATTATTAATAAATTGTTATACTATTAAAGGCTTTTGTGATCCCTCTGAGGTGTGAGGGTGATATATACTCGTAAATTGTGTACTGGAGCAGTACTAAAAATTCGCCGCTTTCAGGTGAATTCTCTCCACTCAATTAAGGACTACTTTACTTTACGAAAGTCGTTTAATTTCATTAAAGTATTCTTATCCTTCCGGTAAAGCAGTGTCATCACATTTATTTATTTACTATCGTTTCTAAAACGGACTTTTCGCAATAACTAAAACGTCCTTCATCTGACATACAGTATTAAAAATAAAAAAACATGCAACAATTACTGTAGTACGATGAAAAGAAGCAATTTCGTCAGCAAATAAAAAACCCCAGGTATTTATAGCTAGAGTTTCATGGATCCAGCTAAATTGCAAAAGGCAAATGTCATATTCTTTACGGTACCTACCTTTAGCATCTGCATCCGATGAAAAATTCCATCTAGTACAGATGTGATCAGCAAGACGGTCTGCATCTTTAAGAGCGTATGTCAGCATTACGGAAGCCAGGAGGCGGTACATTAAGAAATCCTCTTTCCAATCACATTTCTCATTGTACTTACTTTGCTACGATTTATGCCTCAATTTTATTCACTGCTTTTCTAAAAGCAAAGTTTATCTTTAAAATTGTTGGTAGTTATAGCTATAGCTCCCAGGACAGGTTTTACATTAGTAATATTTTATGCGATAAAATAATGTGAGAATATTGTAGTTTTTACTAATATATTATTCTAAAATAGAGACACAAATATCTTTCAGGAGTTTTTTCTTATTTTTATTAAAGCTTCTATTAGCTTGTCCTGACACCTTCTTAAAAAGCATATTAACTACACAAAATCTATTTTTGACATTTCTTAACGCCGTTAAAAATATGTTTTTCGAGGCTTCAAGGATTTCAGAATTTTCTCGATAAATCTACATTTGCCTTCACAAACTTGAGGCATTGCAGGCAGGCAATATTTGTATACTATTATAGTTTATGCTAATACATGCCAGTGTACTCGGCCCGATTTTGTTGACTGCATACTAGGAGGTGAACTCGGGGTTACGTATCAAGGAAGCTAAGCCACTTATAGGACGCTTCACAATAAGGTTTGATTTGGAGAGTTCAGATTTACTGCAAATATTGGGAGGCTCTTGAAGAAATGCATCCTCCTTCAGTTTAGTATAAAAGAACTAACATTGATATGCATTTTTACATCCTATTTGAGGGTGCCCGCGACTTTGTCTCGTAAAAAAATGGTTCCCTATACAAACTTCCACGCTCCTTTCCACCCTTTTAAAGGGTGATAACTGAAGGGGAAATAATCCTCAAAAATATAATTAATGATCACCTGAAAATACAATTGAAACCTAAATGTGTGGTCAGGTTACCAATAGGGTATTTGACAATATTAAAAATAAAGTGCCCATTGATAGCATCTGTGTTTAGAATGAATATTGGCAGGGGTTTTTGCTATTTTTACAAAAAAAAAAATATTCATAATTTTACTAAAAACCTATGAAAAAGATAATAGTTTTTTAATCTATTGTTACGTGACCCAAAACGCTTGGGATTGGCGGAGCCTAAAATGACGTCACACGCAAGTAAACTTCCGGTTAAAGTGACATTACATTGTATCGTTTGACGTTTTAATAACAGTCGTGTGACGTAGTACTAGTAAAACGCCATATTGTCCAGAAAAACGTTTTCGCGGCATCTTGAAAATGAAGTTTTTGATTTGGTTATTTTTACTGAAGTACACAACAGAAAGATGAATATCCACTTTTTACGGACTCCATAAACATTAGTCAATAACGTGAGATCGTTTTCTAAAACTTGTCAAATACCCTATTGTGTTTTTTTAGGATGAATTACTATTTTTAATGATTAAATAATCTAAATAGATATGTGCCAGTTCAAGGATAAAACTATCCTTTACCGCGACTTAAACTATCTTTATAAAAAAAATCATTTAAATCGGTTCAGAGGTTTAAGCGTGAAGAGGTAATAGACAGACAGATGGACGCACTTTCGTATTTATAGAATTTGTATGAATATAAATAATACTAATAATTTTAAGGAGTGCTTTAAGTTGTTACTATTAAATAAATAAAAGTTGGTGACTCGATAATTTTATAAATATTTACATTTATTTGCAAGTGTTTGCACAGGAAAAATATTTGCAGTTGGACGCAAAAATAAAATTTGGAATGTATAGAATCATGCCAGGTCACTTTAAATAACATGCCAATGCATCCTTATATTAATAAAATCTCTTTCTAAAAATATTCATTGAAGTAGAGAAAATAATAATGGAGTATTTCAATATTGTGTTTGATAGTTTACTACCTTTGGAATAACGTATTTCGTGTCTGTCTGTATGCACGGAGTTGTCCGCAATGTTTTTTGTTTTCTCTTCTGAGTCAAGCCTAGGAACTTGGTCATATAGTAAGTTGTGGTCGCTAAATCAGATGTGGGATGCGGGCCATCCAGGGGACCCATGAGGGTTTTTCTTTCCTGGGTCCGAAATTGATATCAAATCCAATTTTTTGAAATTTTCAGAAATCCACGGGTGGTAAGGAGAGGGGCCAGGGTCACATAAAAAACCGAAAACAAAAAAAAATATTTTTCTCGGATTCGCACGAATATGGCTTTTTACTTGCATGTGTAAAAGCAAAACGAAGGTGAACAATATAATAGAATAAAACTAGTTTTTCACGGGTTAATGCACGAAACTTTATTTATTTATTGAAGTTTCGCAGCCTTTACGGGCTGCTACGTCGGAATCATTTTTTATTTAACTTTGTCGAGCTACCTTCGAAAGACTTTCGAAACCTCCGAAACGTCAATAAATAAAGAAAGTTTCGTGCATTAACCCGTGAAAAACTAGTTTTATTTAATGAGTGATGTGCATGAAAACCTGAGAAACAGATAATATAATAGAAATTTAATTATCTGCATGTGTAGATAATAAAAGACATATTACAAATTACTATAAGTTTATTCAATTATGTATATAAAGGTATGGGTATACATAGGTATCGACGATGAGATACAAATGGGTAGGTTACTAGCGATATTACTACATACAAGTATCGGGTCTGCTTCACATAGTATCAATCATATTGCACACGATGTCCCTACGCCTCACACTGCGAATTGGATTGACAGCGGGAGTAAGAAAAATATGACCAGTCGCAAGGATTTCAAAATAATATAAAAGACAATACAAACAATTTTGTTTCAAGAGACTAAATCTAAAATAGACAAAACAATAGCCTGTTTACATTAAAAGTTCTTATTAATAGACGAAGATACTCCATGCTTAGTTCACGTCACTCAAATAATTCGTAGTTTGTTAACATAGACAGAACTTCTAGAACAGGAGTAGTTTAAAAGTGAATTCCCCCAGCCTAAGTAACGCATATTACGATACTGAGTATAAGTTTTTGGTTATGAATCCAAATTTCAACACTTTTCTGCGCACACTGCTCTATGTCCAGTTCACGGTATTACAAACGATAACACAGCAAAAGTAGACCACATTATCACACATTAAACTCATTTTACATAAAGAAACATTGCCTGCAAACACTTTGAGTATTACCTAGTAGATTACACTTCAGTTCCTTTATTTGCTGCCCCACAGCCACTCGAGTTAAGACCTTTTATCAAACGGATTAACACAAACGGCAGCTAAAGCGTTTAGCGAGATTTTTTAATTAGGAAATTCTTTTAACTTTCCCACGGCATCCCTAAGGCGGAAACTCTTTATTAGAAAGTAGATTAATAAAAAAGAAATAAAATTAAATGAGATTTCGTACATATTGGGATCTAAAAGAAGTTATTAAAAATGACACGGCGTTTTCTAAACACAAATTTATCAGAGTATACTATAACAACTACGCCACAAGTATAAAAACTATTCTTTGCCAAAATGTTTTCTACTAATTCGTTTTTACCAAGTTCCAGTTCAATGACCACATTTACAAAAATATTTATAATTACAAAAGTATCACTGTGGCTAGATATGTTACGAGACGGGTTTCTCATGTGGATATTATTCAAGTTAAAGCGAGTCGACAAACGACTCGATATGTATTATTTTTAATGAGAGTGCTTAACCAGAGAGATGCAGACACATTTTTATGAAACTACACCAAATTACTTCTCATCAAACAGTGAACTTTTATTATTGCTGAAATTTATCTTACTGTTAATATATAATATACAATGCGGTAAATACTGAACAGTAAAACCTCGTATCAAATGTATTTTTACAATCTATGGACTATAAACTGCTTAGTAATCGTTGTTTAATTATACCCAAAACTTTTTACAACTATACATTTTAACAGATAATCTAATACATTTATTTTTACATTTAATTGCTATATCATCATCATTTGGTATCTTGACTAGATTAAATTCGATTTGCAAAATAAAAGTGCTGTTGTTACGAAAAATAAGTGTAAAAATTTCAGTCTTATAGTTCAATAAAACTAAAGTAACAATGTTAAATAAAATTGAATATAAAGTTAACTTAGGAGTTATTAAATAACAATTCACATTGAAACAATAAGTGGTTACAATAAATAATAAAGCATCATGAAAATCATGTATCTGATTCCAGCTGCAATAATGGAAACCAATATTGATATCACATAATTTACGACCGACAGCGAATTCAAAATGATTTAAATCGACTTTTACGAATTGCAAAGTAATTTCTCATATATTTTTTTTTTTACTGAATGACGAAATGGCTGTAATGCCTTCACCAGAAAATTGAGCTTTAAAATGAGATCCGTATAGCAAGTCTTCAATAAAACTTGATCTTATTGATAGCTTTTGTGATAAATTACTTTTTCAACTTTCTCGATTTGCCTTCAGAAACGTTTAAATTAATTTAAGTATAGAATAAAGTTTTGGAAACATACCATAAATTAGAATTTTAAGGGTTACACCAAGTCTGTAAGTACTTTAATGGATATCTTAGTTTAAGGTAAGTTAGTGTAATTGGCAAGTTCTTTTCCGCTTTTGTACATTGACGTTAGGATGGGGTCCATATTATGATACTCCTTGCCAGATCGGGGACGAAGAGTGCTCGTGGGTTGACGGCTCAGCCTGTAAAAAAATTTTTAGCATGAAGTGAAATTTTATTTTTATTTATTCCTTCAGTTGGAGCTTTTGATCCTCTTAAATTTCTTTCACAGCCTTTAACGGGATTATCAAAATTCAACCGTGTGCTTTTAGATTTTATATAACCTTTTCCTGCACGAGTATTTACATTAAATATCACTTGTTATTTTAATTCATAATGTGTCTATAAATTAAAATTACCTCAGTCCTGTTGGAGTATCTGAAGACGAATGTGATGATGTCATAGACAGAGTTTCAATATAATCAGACATATCTGACGTGCCACTAGAAGTGCTGTGCGTGTCCATGACTCCTATAACAAAATTTCGTATGAAACATGTAAAATAATTAAAACTATTAAATTATTTTAAAGAATTTAGAATACCTTTAAATTGTTTCGGTGGTAATACTGGCACCTCCGCTTCAGCTGAAGATGACTTCGCAGGAACATTCGCTTTATGAAGTTGCATTGAGAGATCTCTCAATGGATCTGAAGATTTTGATTTCCTAGGCAAAGACGAGTGAAGACATCCAATAGCATGGCCTCGCATTCTTCTCTGTATCATATACTGTTGTCGGGAATGGGCAGACGTTAGTGGCATTTCAAACTCATTGTATTCAGCGCCACCATGTTTCATAGAGCAACTTGAAACTCCTGAATCATTGGAACTGGAAGAATCCCTATTACCTCCTTTACATGGCACACTGGAGGACCTTTTAATTTGTGCATTATCCATTAGTTTATTTCTCAAATGGGGGACTTCTTTCATAGAATTTTCTTCTGACGTTTTATGTTCAGAGCCCGACGATTTGCAACAATCATAGCACTCCCTTTCATTGTCACAAGGTGATGAAGACCTCCTATTTTCTATAGCCAAATTTCTGAGTGTTTCTAGAGATGAAGATGTCGCGTGGCTTCCTATGCTGCTATCAAATTCTTTTAAGTCTTCGAGAATCCTTGCTGAGTCTACGGAATTAGAGCGCTTTTGTATTGCTTCTTTATTTCCTGCTACCGTTGTGTCGAAACTTTGTGTTCTATTTGCACTGCCATTCAAAGTGGGTATGCTCAAAGATTTTTCTATCTCTACACGGTGCATTTTGTGGATGGGATGCTTCAAACTTTGTGACCAGTTAGGATTTGGTGACATAGGAGTATATCCTGGATTAGGCCCTAGTACACGACTGCTTGATGCTCTATCTGGCGATGGCTCCATTAATAAATACTCGTCTGTTTTATTTTTGACTGTTTCATTATTCTTTGATGTTTCATTTGGTGCATGTCCACATTTTCCACAATGTCGAACTTTTTTTGGAAGGTGGATGGTTTCTAATTCTATATTAGCACTAAGCGCATCAAGTTCACTTTGTGTCACACCAGCTTTTTTCAAAAGGTCTTTGGCATTTTCGTAATATTCAAGAGATAAAGCGAACTCAAGATTTTCGTAATTCGCGTATGGTCCGTCGAAGTCTTTTTCATTATTTGGTTCAATGTTTTGGTAATTGGTATATTCTGTATCATTTATAACTTCTAGCATCGGTAACTTATCCGCAGCTCCGCTTTGTCTATTTGTTTTTCGTGAAACATCTACCGTTGCATATATTGCCATCTCTTCCGACTTTTTGCTAGTAAGAACTTCCGTGTTTACCTCACTATTAACACTTTTTTTGCAATAAGGAAGACTTATTAAATTATTTGCCCAGTTTGTGACTTTTTGACATGGACATTCAACGGGTTGTAGACTTTCTTCACATTCAACTATAACGGGTTTTTTTCTTGATCCAAATTTTAATATGCAGCCGCAATTCTTTTTTAGTACCAAAGATCCAGGTCCAGATTTATCAGCAACTTGAAATAGGTCATCTGCTAATGCTTGTTTTATTCTTTTAGGGGTGTCATAGTATTCAGTATTTTCAACCTAAAAGAAAAGATAAAAAAACATTATGCTTAGCTTATTTCAACATAGTATTAAATCTGTATAATAATATAGTATAATGTAGAAGGAGAAAGTTTTTATACTTACTTCTGTATGTGTCGTTTTTGGAACGTCATAATTTTCGTAAGGACCCACTTTTGGGTTATTCAAATAATTGTCGTTGGACAAACATTGGCATTCATTAACCGGTAATTGAGCCGGTAGTTTCTTTTGTTCCATGTGTGAAGGTTTTGGAGGTCTAAGCGGAGGCTTTTCCTTACAATGACATGCCTCTAAAGTTTTCCTGATGGCCCTTGGAGTTAAATATTCAGTACTATTAGAAGAATTATCAGAGCTACTTTCGGGAACAGCTTCCATGGTCCATGCTGGGTTAAAGTGCGCTGTAGGTGTGAGGGCTACTGTTGAAGACCTAGACATAGCTCCTAGTTTGGTAAGACAGTTGTTGCATCTTTCTAAAGTGACGTGATCTGCTCCATTCCAAGGCGGTCTTGTGCCTATTTCTACGTCATTCATACATTTCATGTCATGGTCATCAAAATCTCGTCTTTCGTCTGATGGCCAGAAAGGGGATATCCCTTCTCGGTCTTCACCAAAGAAGTTTTCCTCGTATAAGCCGCTTGCAGTTTCTGCTCTAGATTGATCTATTGTGTTAACATCTGACATTCGGGTGGTCGGCCTAGATTTGCTTCCTCTATCTGTACCTGTAATATGAATTTAATTGAAAACCACTTCTACCATAATACATTTTTAAGGTGTGTATGTCATTTCCTACAGAGATTTGAATAGTTTGTTTTACGGTAGGAAGTCCGGTTAGGATTGTGATCCTTACTTTTTCTAGAAACCGGTGTTTTTGGAGCTGATAGGTTTCCCCGGGCAGCCATGTCGAATGCATCGGTGATGTCTTGAGCTTGGTCAGTGATGAGCAAATGAAGGCCTTCACCTTTGCCACAATGAGAGCCCCCTTCGAAGCAAAATCTGCCTTCCACCACTCCATATCGCCTGTTCAGAAAATAATTATAGAAATTAGATTATTTTTGATAACTGGTTACAATGCATTGGGCACAAGACGGCACATCAAAGACTTTAATTACCTATATCGGAAACCCTAATTTATCTCTTAGGTAAATTTGTGTTCCGTTGACACTTATATAATAAGTTCGATTAATATTAAAGGAGGTAGGCGACAGCAAATTTCCGAAAACAAACATTAAATTACATAAATGACGACAGTGAAATAACAACTTGATTTTGGTGTTGTTGTGTTTCTGTCAGTTAGTAAGATATCTAATGTTCCACTGAGTAGGGAACTGAAAAGGAAAGGATGGCCGTAGCAACACTTTTTCATACTGCATTACTTATTTTAGCAACTAGACTTTACTGTCGTAATTTACTGACCTTTAAGAAGCAATATAATTGCAATAGCCTTTTATAGCTATTAAAAAAATATATTGATAAAATCGGTTTTACAAAATTTCACAAAATAATATTTGTATAGCAAATAAGTGTTATTGTGCAAGTGAAAATTGTGCTTATTTTAATAAGCTTCAACATAAAATTTAAATTTATGAAATGCCGTTAATAATTTGAGAATTATTAATACTTAAACACCTTACATTACTCTTGTTTTTTGAGATTTTGCAACAAGTTTATATATTTTACTGTTATCTTTATCTTTCATTTAATTCTTTAAGAGCCCTTCTACGAAATTGCGCCGCTGCCGTACTGATCGGCGCGTAGGTAGATTTGCACTAGTATATATTGCATTTTACTGGTGATGTTTCGCGTCTTATAAAATAATTATTAATAGACTAATTATAAAAATATATACATATTTCAGTAGTTCAATGATGGTAGATTAGTTTTATGAAACTTTTTGATAGTAATTCTATTTAATTCAATAACAAAATACGAGGTAAACCTGCATTATTTGTTGGGAAAACTCACGGAGGTTAGATTTTTTTTTTGATAATTAATGAGATGGAAAATCAAAATCCTAATACATTATTTTACAACAAAAACATATTTTTGATGTCGTAGTAATTAAATTGATTTAATTTATTGAATATTATTGAGATATTGAGGCGTTTGAATTTGTGCATATTATCGTTTTTCCGTAAACTAGCTGCAGTAGAATGATCAGTACTAAAAAAGGAAAATAGTCTTTGAAAATATTCTACATTAACTTACAATAGGAAGAATAAATCTACTCTTTACTTCTATTGGAGATAGACAAAATTTTTTCTAAGGGGGTAAACGAGGCGCTCAAAAATTACGATTTTTTGCAAAAAATGTGAAAGGGCTCTTAACTTTTCACGCACGCCTATCATTTAACAAAACCTGTAAAGCTAACGCTCAATTTCTAAAATAATGAAAAAGGTTAATAAATTGCACTTACACTGGTTTTTAATATGTGTTGTAAATGTCATCATCATCATCAGCCTATTAATGTCCCCACTGCTGGGGCACAAACCTTCCCTGCATGGCATAAGGAGATTGGGCCATGACTCACCACGCGGGCCTGGGTTGGCGGGTGCTAACGACGGCAGATGCAGCCGAGAACGGCTTAACGTGCCTTCCGAAACACGAACGGACTCCAGATAGAAGATTTTCGCTCACCCATCCAATGACCGACCACTACGAAAGTTTCTTAACTTCAACGATCGCAGCCGAACGCGCTAACCACCTGCGTCATCCAGCTCCTCATATCATATCAATATCATTTACCTATACAGACGAAAACTAAAAGTGCATACAATAATGAACAGCCTGTCTGTTATGCATTCTACATAATTTCTGTTAAACAAACCCACGCTAAGTTTCCAGGTTTCACTCCAACTGCGTCATCCCGTTAGCGTTGCGGTTTCCCAACTCATATGCAGAAAGCAGCGGTTGCATGCATCGTGTTCACTAAAAACCATTTCTGTTTCGCTAATAAATTCTAACTGTTTAAAGTCTCTGTGAATGTGACTAATGGTTAAATCTCTGTCGTCAGCTAAATGTTTACTAATTAGAGTCGCTTTGAGAACGGGCGCAATGCGAAATTTCAGTCGCTAACAAAACAGTGAGCTCCTAAGTTAATAATAAGTGTGTTTTGTTTAATTAGATTGTGGCGGCGACATCTATATGCCCCACATATATACAACGGATCATTACTCATCATCCTCAAGAGATGGCGTTACCTGCACTGCGATCATAATAGTATGGAAGCCTACATCGCGCAAATGAAATTCGGAGGTTAACTCTTTATATATACGATGCCCGACCAACATCAGTCGGGCCGCTGCCCCCGAGCTATCACCACCCAGCTCGGAGGAAGATCTTCCCCTTTGGCCTTCCTACACTGGTGACCCTCGACTGAGCAACAGCAGCAGCAAGAAGCAACCTTCTACCATTGCAGCGCAGCCATCAATCCTCATACCCCTTCCCCCGAGCTACCACCACCCAGCTCGGAGGAAGATCTTCGCCTTTGCCTTTGGCCTTCCTACAAGATCTTTAATTGAGGGTTGGAGAGAAAAAGCTGATTTTTATGGGTTTGTAGAAACAGATTTAAAGATTGTTTCTATACTATTAAGGGCATTGTGGTATCGTAGTAATAATGATAATGAACCATTTAGTGTAAGCAAAATGTATGTTATATTAGTGAATTAAATTAATTTGGTAATTACAACTTTGATATTTAAGATGTAAATGTTTAATTACACCTATTATAAATAACTCTATTTGTATTTATACTGTTTGACACAGCAATCAAAATGCAGGTGAACAACTAATGTATAATTTCACATTATTTAATGAAAGGTGACTTCATGAATCATCTCTGAAGTCATTTTTCAACTTGACGACTCTGTAAATGATAAAACAGGGAGAAAAAAACAGCCCTTGCTGAGTTTCTTGCCGGTTCTTCTCAGTACAAGGTCTCCCGCCGTAGATTTCTGAACCGATGGCGTAGCTTCTAGACATTCATATGTGCTTGTAACAGCCTAAACTGAATAAATGATTTTGATTATGATTATTATGTTTACAATGGTCAAATCAATTAATTATAATGATAGGTCGCAATAGTCAGAAAACACTCCATCGTCATGTTTTTGTGTCTCAAGCATCTCAATGCTCAATTCTTTAACTAGTCATAGTACCTACACACTAACCTCTCCTGTCCACTAAGAAACAAGTCGTATACTAGTTTTAAACGTAACTTTTAGAATACTTGTTGTGTCTGTTTTAAACATTTTTTCGTTTACACTGCAGAGACAACTACATAGTATCTTACAAGTGTAAATCACTATTTTACTTCACATATTTTGTTTATGTAACAAGTTTGGTGCAAATATTGTATACTAAATGTTTTATACATGTATCTAAGTGTGGACAAAAATTAAGACATTGTATATATTTTTTTAAATTAGTGTATTACCCTTTTTGAAAAATGGCAATCTTTTAACACAAAATTCATATTATTAATAATATCATGTCGTTGAATTCACCGTTTGACAATATTAGGTTGCTATATAAACTCTTAAAAGTAAACTAAAGAAAATATAACTAGAAAAAATTTCACGCGGAGCAGGCAGCAGACGGGACTCGAACCCGCACCCTTCGCTATCCGGGCGAATGCACTGACCAATTATGCTACCGCGGCCCTGATAGCCGCGTCGAAATTCCTCTAGCCATTTTTAAGCTGCAAGGCAGCGCCATCTCTTCGCATTGTAGGTAACCCACAATGTCAATACTTTTACAAGTATCAAACATTTGAAAGAAGAAATAGCAATTATATTTAAATTTCTTCTTCTTCAAGCAGTTACATGCTTAGAAAATAAAAATTATAAAATAGAGTAGAAAATTTTATTAAAAGAGATGTCATTGTCCTCTTTGCAATATACTATCCAAGAGCACAATTACAAATCTTTTCTACAGTAAATCTGTAAGACATGTTAAAACAATAAGAACGCCCACGAATACATTGCCAAATCTCAAAAAGAAATTGAAAAGATTGCAACATGAATACCGCACTGCATTAACGCATTAGGGGCGTTCCGTACAGTTGGCAAACCGCAAATTCGAAATGGCGGCACGACTAAAATGGCGCTGTCGACAAGATGGCGGCTGCGGAAGCGGAAGTGGCGTCCATTACGTTGCCGGCGGCTGGTTGTAGTTGGCGGCCAGAACTACATAAAATAGTGTAGACAGATGGCGTGCGTTACGGAAAAACCGTGAATGATAGTTTTATTGTACAATTTAATGTCTTTGTATTATTTACTCCGATAAAGCGAGTACAGTAGAATGGGTTATTTAAATCTAATACGGTCGTTTGGACTCTCGAAGAATTAAGTTAATGGCGTTCTTAATTAGAAAAGGGTGCGGGCCTTTTTTCTTTTATTGAGTTATTTGGCAGGAGAAGTGTTTAATAAGGTCAAACAGAAAATTAAATTAGTCTATTATTGAGAAAAAATATTAGATTTAATTACTCATAAAGGACAAAACAAGATAAAGAAATTAAATTAATGTAGAAATACTTAATAGAGAAAATGTATGCTTACAATATTTTTGTATGTATGAATAGAAATTATGCTTTCACTAGATGAATTCCATTGGCAGGTTTACCTATAAATCTGGAATGTAAACAAAGTCCTTTTCTTTCCCTTCTATTTAGGCAGGATATTATACCGTTAAAAATATTTGAAAGATAAAACGGCCTGGACGTAATTTTACTTTCAGATTATTTTCAAAGTTATAAGTAGTAAGCTTGTCTGCATCTTCAAGATGAGTATTGAATCTCTTCAAAGCAAATGTTGTGGAGACAAGTAACGTTCTCGCCTTACACTTGATCAGTTATTTAAAAAAATGTTTAATAGATGTTTCGGTGATTTTATATATTAATTACCAATTTAACATTATGTGATGGAAGATGTTTTAATACAATATTTTTAAGTTTATTGTCAGAAATAAAACAGGGATAAAAAAGCAGCCCTTGCTACGTTTCTTGTCGATTATTCTCAGTACAAGATCTCCCGTCGCAGATTTGAAGCTCAGAGCCTAAGTAAACTGAATAAATGAATTTGAATTTGCTATGTTTCTGAAGGCACTTTAAGCTGCATCTGCAGTCGTTAGACAAATGATATGGGTCTTAAAGGCAAAATTACCTCAAATGCGCCAGCTCCCACAAGCCTAGTAGACGCGGTGGCAGCCCGCTGGTGAGAGCAAACCTCCTCCCTTGTCGGTTTTTCCGTGACCCGCCTTCCACTAGCCCTAGGAATTCCTAAGAGGTAGCCTATAGCTCAGTAGCGTAAATATTAATAGGCTGATGATGTTGAATTTCTATTGTAGGCTTGTATCTAATTACCTTAAATGCGCCAATTCCCACAAGCCCAGCAGACGCGGCGGCACCCCGCTGGTAAGTGCAAATCTTCTTCCCTGCAGGTGTAAACGAGCGGGCCCCGCCGGCAGCTTCCGGGACCCGCCCCCACCCCCGACCAGCACTAAGAACTCCTTGGAGGACCCCAGCTGTCCGCCAACCTTGAAGAATAACATCATTGTGAAAACAACATCGAAAGTCTTTTCAGAAAGAAATGGAACAAATTTTATAAGGTCGCATTTTGCCAAGAGATGTGCAAAAATGGGTAGCGAGGAATGTGTTTGTAAAGAATAGAATCAGTTCAGTCCTCCAGTCTTGTTGAGCAAAGGATGTGTACGAGGAATATGCCCAAAGAATATGTGCTACAGCTAAAGACGAGCTAGCAACTGCATTGGACAAGAGTCCGCCTCACACCCTCGCACCATTCATCTACGCATTGTTTCACGGGTTCGCTAAACATACTGAGACTTAAATTATTTTAAACATTTTAGTTCTTTTTATTAAGAATTACCTAATAAAAGCGTGTTTAATAAACAAGCAAGCCTTACAGTAGCCGCGTATGATGTGTTACATTTGAAACCTCATCTTGTATGAGTAATAAAAGAAATAAAACCTATCACAAAAGGAATAAGCCATTTGAAAATTATGTTCTAAAATCAAATCAAATAGCGCGCGCTGTCGCGACTTCCTGTTATACACTTCTGTCCCATTTTACGAAATCACTCGCACAAATTGCAGGAAAGCGAGAGGAAAGATGTTACACATCAAAAATATATATTTATTTTTATGTTATTCTTTTTCGTATTTATGACTCGGAACCAAAGTAATCTAAGGAGCTCAAACTTGATGCTGTTTTATTTCGAAAATCCTATGGCCACCTTCCAAGTTCTGCAGACCACCTTATAAGACCAAAGTACTCGTCAAGACGAATAATACGAGCCCAAACTCGATGGCATTATGTCGTGTTACAACGGAGTTCCTATGGCCACATTCTGGCTCCATCAGAAGACCTTTGATATCATCTAGCGACAAAGTACTCGTCAAGATAAATTTAACGAGCTCATACTTGATAGAGTTACCTCGTTTCAGTACAGAGTTCTTATGGCCAACTTTCAGCTCAATTATCAGATCAACTACATGGTACCATATTATTGCATTGTCACCGTACTTACGTAAATATCCTAAATTTCAGCTGAATCTAATAACAAGAAGTGGTCGAAAAATGGTTTACAAATTTTGAAGATACATACGAGTAGTGCAAGTTAAATAAAAGATTGTAATTAAAAATTGAAAAGCATTTACCTTAACTTGCCAAGAGATGAGCCTCTCTCTAGTCTCGAAGGCCAGCACCACAGTCACGTCCTGGCATATGATGGCTATGGTGTTGGACTCCTTGTCCAGGGTGAACCCGGACTCGAAGCCCAAGAAGTGCTGGAGGGAGAGAGACGCCTTCGTCTGGCCTTTCTTGAAGCGGTCCTTGGGGTCCCGGTATAGCTGGAGGTGGAGACAATCTGGAACAAGAAGAAATGATATATTACTTCAAACTTCCATGGTCCATTAACACTATAGTACAGCGCCGAAATATCGGGGATTCGTTAAAGCAAGGTACATGGTAGCAATCCCGTTAATAACATAAATTACTAAATTGAAATGATTTAGCAAAATGGTCAGTGCATTCGCCCGGATAGCGAAGGGTGCGGGTTCATGGAATTTTCTTTAAAGATGAAATGAGGTTTTGCAAAAGGTCAATATTATTTCCATGAAGCCTAGAAAGATCTGGAACGATGTACGGTAATTATTCTAATGTAACACAATTATCAGTTTAAAAAGAAATAAATTCAAATTCAAATTGTTTATTACAGACAACAAAATGGTCCATCAAATCGTTAGTAACAATATTTAACTTAAATGCTATGTTAGTATATATTATTTCTAGGATTCAATCGATGTGTGTTTTTTAAATACTGAAATTGTATTATATATAATATAAAAAGAAATCTAAACCAAATGTCAAACAAAATGAATTTATGTAATTAATTAATATTCTACATTTAAAGTCATATAATTTAAAATATCGTGTAATATAATTTAATGTACTTATATGTCAAAGAATTCAAGTGATTTTTTTTTTTTATGCTAAATAGGCAATGCGTTTGACCACAATCTCACCTGATGGAAAGCGATGATGAGGCCTAGGATGGTACACGCCTGCCTAGAAGATGCCTGTTCACTCTGGCCTTGAAGATGTCCAGGTTATATTGGTCCGGGAAAACAGACCTCGGCAAGGAGTTCCACTCCCTAGCCGTTCGTATAATGAAGGCCGAAGCAAATCGCTTCGTGTGAATAGGAGGAACTTCGACAACATAAGGGTGGAAGCCCTCGCCGCGCCTGGTCGTCCGGTGGTGGAAAGGGGAAGGGGGGATCAAATTATGTAATACCTCCGCACACTCTCCGAAATGTAACCGATAAAACACCGAAAGGCAAGCTACACGTCTTCGGTGGTCGAGGCTCTGAATATTAGCCTCAACGAGAGCGTCATTGCCTATGAGTCTCTTCGCACGGTGTTCCACCGAGTCCAGTGCATCCAGCTGATACCGAGCAGATCCGTCCCAAAGGTGACAACAGTACTCCAAGCAGGAGCGAACTTGGGCTCGGTAAAGGTTAAGGAGCTGCTCAGATGTAAAATATCGCCTGACCTTAGAAAGTATTCCAAGTTTTCTGGCAGCGGTTTTAGCAATGGACTCGATGTAGGGACCGAAATTGAGGCTGGATGAGATGTCCATACCCAAGAGCTCGAGATGGTCTTTAACCGGCACGGAGACATTTCGGAAAGTCGGAGTCAGATGGAATGGACTCCGTTTCGTCGAGAAGAGACAGGCCTGTGTTTTAGAGGGATTGAATCCAACCAAGTTGGCTTCACCCCAGAGGGAAACAGCTTCCAGGGTTGCATTCACTCCCTCCACCATCGCCTCCCTTAATGATCGGACATCTGCATCAGACTTCACATCAGGCAGATATCTCCCCGAAACTGTGCTGTCATCTGCATACCTAAAGATACCAGGAGTTAGGAGCAGATCATTGATGTGCAGCAAGAATAGAGTTGCGGAGAGGACAGATCCCTGGGGGACACCGGCATTAATACCAAGCAGATCCGACGATGTGCCATTAATGACCACTCGTATCGATCTGCCCCTCAGAAAATCTGCAATCCAGATTTTCTGAGGGGCATATTAATTTATTTAATGTTCAAATAAGGACAACATGATCAAAATATGTTAGTAGATACTTAAATTATGTTAGTACTTAATTTCTAAAAGTGATTTTGTCCTCTGGATAAATTTCCACATAAGAGGACTATCAAATTTGCTAGCCATAACGTTTAAAATACTGTTGCCACTCTCGCGTATTCTGCCCAACAGCGATGCAGTCCTTTTACGCCAAATCGCATAAAAACCATCTGTATGCGCCTCGGCAAACATAGCTGAAGCGCTACAAAAAGGCGGAAGCCGCAACAGGGCCCTAAACGCATTATTATATTGGATGCGCAAAACATTGTAAGCCCGCTGGGTATAATTGAACCACACACTCGCCGAGTAGAAAGATGTGCAATACGCTTTGAACAGTGTTATTTTAACTGTTTTAGTACATCGCGCGAATCTACGGGACAACATATTAGCACGGACTGACAATGCCCTGCGTTCCCTCTCCATATCTGCATCATCCCTAAGGTCATCGGTTACCAAATGTCCTAGGTACTTAAACTGATGCACTCTTCTAAGAGGAATGCCATTCAATGTCACTGGTGATATGAAATCTGGACTCTTGGTACCGGCCTTGAAAATAATGTACTCAGTCTTTTTAACATTGTATAATAATAACTAGGGCTGCCATCCGTCCGGGTTTCCCCGGATTTGTCCTAGTTTACGGGGCATCCGGGGAGCGTCCGGGCGGGGTTTTATTTGTAGTCCGGGTTTAAAAAATTACGGCAATGCATGAGTGGCCCTTGGTGCTGCAAGTGTCCATGGGCAGCACTTATTATGAGGTGGACCGCTAGCTCTTTTGCCTAGATCAACATAAAAAAGTTGATTTGTGACATTTTTAACTGTTTTTTTATTGGTCTGTCCGGGTTCTGGGCTTGAAAATCCAGGGTTATCACTCGTCTTATCCTGGTTTGCCACATTTTAGAGATGGCAGCCCTAATAATAACCCATGCGAAGACGCATACGATTCATACACAGCGAGTAGCTTTCTCAACGCACCAAATAAAGCGTGGTGTTGATGAAAGAACTTAACATCTATATCATCAACGTTTAAAAATTGTCGCTCTTATTATCATTTACAAATACAAATTATTTTAAAGCATAATCAAATGCTTTTTTGACAGAAAATATTTTTTTGTTTTCATTTTTAAAATGTGTATTGTTACCTTCTTGGGTTTTTGTATTGGAATTTTAAATACCCAACCAAATTATTGGGCAATTGAGTATTCATTAGTAACATGAAATCTCAGCGGTGACCAAAAATTTACACATTTATACACAATACGATAAAATAGATAATATTTAAAAACCGCGAAAATCAAAAAAGTGTCGGGAACAGGTGCGAGTGAATAGTGAGATTGTGACCAATGGTAGGGGTATCGAGCGCAGTAAAAGACGACGTCAGAGGGTAGACCGATATGTCTGCCCATAATTCAGTTACTTCGTGATCATGGAGCTTGCAACAGTGCCGAAATATCAGAGACTCATAAAAAACAAGGTACATGGTAACAATCCCGTTAATAGCTATAATGTTAGTGACCACGAAAGTTTAAAACAATATATAGATAATATTTATAATATTTTCATTCTTACAACTTTATTTTAACATTATAGGTATTATTTTTTAGGATATTTTCGTATCGCTTCCATCTGTGCTTCCATCAGTCAAATGTCTTCTTATTATAAATTTTATTACAGATTTTACGAATTGTGTAGGTGTTGATGGATTTTATTCGGAGAATCACAAAACTTGAGTCAAATACGAGCGAAGGCATACTAAAAATAAAGTTTAATAAATGTCAGATGTTATTAGGAGTGACGTAACACTTATTATTCTCAAGCGGCACTTTTGATGCTCTCACAACCTGGCAAGTCACATTGTGGTCGAAAGAATGTGTAATGACGTCGTAACATCAAAA